ACGTGACAGGAGTAACACCAACAAATCTCTCCCATTTGATCAAGATGTGTTGTGTTTAGTGCTTTTTTTTTTTTTGGGCTCTATTTGGCAGTGTTTTCACACAAATGAATCCTCGTTTTGTTCCTCTACAACCTTGATATTTTCATGGATGTCTGTCAACATGTTTTAAATGATGGTATGAGTTACTTCAGATGATCTCACTACATAGCAGCCTCTACCATCAGTGTGTGAATGTGTAGGTGTGAACTGTGGTGTAAAAAGCACTTGTTCAGAAGACTAGAAAAGCGCTATACAAGCTCAAGTCCATTTGCCGTATGAGCCTTGAAGATTGAAGTCATTGCCTCAAGTGACATCATTTGAGTCAATATGTTTGGTTGTATAATACAAGTTTGAAAAGGACAAAGGCATGTGGACAAGAAGTCAGAAAGAAGTGAACTGTCAGTGAATTAATTGCATTGTGGGTCATTAAAGTGTGTGGTTGATGAGTGACCAATAGGAAGTAGAGTGTAGGAGCGATTCAGAGTTGAACCCCTTGCATCAGTAAAAAACCAACAAATTACAAACAGAAGTTTAACAGATTACCACTGTGACAAATGTATGGAAGTGAATATGTAAAGCCGCTGCGAGGTGATGACTGTGTCTGACCTACAAAAGCAAACCGGACCATCAGAGATGTTATGGTCTGTTTTTATGTTTAAATTTGTAACGCCTGAAACACTGCTGAAGAAACTGCCTTTTACACTTCCTCTTTTATTCTTTCATTTGTACGCCGTGCTTATGTTTGTTTTACAGCAGGAATATTAAGCAGCGTTTTGTCTTATTTGTAAGGAATGTAAAACTGCTAAATGATGAAAATACTTTGTTATACTAAAAACAAGTTCTCCTTGTATTTTCAGTTTGGTGTTACAGGGTAGCAGAGACCTTTATTTGACAAGTCCGACATTTCTATCTTCTTCTCTTTTTTTTTTTGTATCATCTGAATGGTTTCTTTAAATCAGTAATAGACTATGAAACAGGATAATAAATCAAGTTGTGATAGTGAGGAGAGGAGGAAACAAAGCCAGATTGGTCACATTGAAGCTCGATAGTTTCGCTTTTCAAATCTAAATCCCAGCTCACTTCTCGTTTTCCAGCCTTTTCCGTGGGGGCAGCTTCCCTCGCCTTCTCACATTTACTGTCCGCTGTGTCTTCATTACACGCGTTTGATTGCGAGGTGTGCGAGTGTTTGTGCGCGCACACGTTTACATGTGTCAGTGTGTGCCTATGGTTAGCTCTCCTCTGTTTGTGCGGTTGTTTGCTTATGCATGTGCGCCCCGAGAGCGACTGTGTGTTTCTGACTGCGGGTGCATTTTATGATGTGTACTTTCTTTTTCTCTTCCCCGTCCAGGAGTCCCCGTCAGGACCCCTAGGCGTCCCTGTGCCCGCCTGCCAAAAACGTCTGCATCTCCTGGACCCCCTCGAGGCAGAGGACAGCCAAATGTCACTTGGACCCTCTACAGAGTGGAGAGAGAGGAGGACAGGAAGAGGCGAGTGGGAGAGGGAGAGGGGGGAGGAGACAGGGAAATGATGAGAGGGAGACGGAAGTTAAAGAGGAGTTAGAAAGAATTGTAGAGCAACAAAAGAGGTTTATACAACAGGAATGAATGAGAAACTGATACAAATGTTCAGTGTCATTGCAAACTCAATGTGCCTGCATTACCTAATTTTTTTGTATTTATTATTTTTGAGGGCTTTTTGTCATCAGCTTATGCAACCCAAAAAAATCTTGCAGTTGCAGCTTTGTTTCAGCCTTAAACATACTCGACATGAAAGCAAAAACACATCACCAAACCGATCGCTAAGCCCCTTTCACACATGCACTGCAATCCTGACATTTTTCAGACATCGTCCGTTCGCAAAGTTTTTTCACCCAATTTTTTCACTTTCTTGCCAGCATTCTTGTAAAAGATCTGTGTAAACCTTGGGTGAGCCGATGTGTGCATGCTGCAGGTAAAAGTATGCAACATTTACAGCGGAGTGATGACGGGATTCCTGTTGAGCGAGTTTCGCTGCTTTATACCCTTCACTGCTCGCCACAGCTGTGTTTACAGTATCTAGCTGAAAGGTCCTCGGACATGTTGCAGTGATATTAATACAAATATACTTTCTTGTGTTGCCTAGATCCCCCTTTTACCTCTGCCAGTCTCTTGTGTCCTTCTCTCCTTGTCCTTGTATGGAGGACAAATACAAGTCAAGGCTCCTGACGTCCACACAACAGCATGTTTGTTCACGGAGAAAGGCACAAATCTAGATTGGTCATTTTGATTAGTAAACACTCGGACAGTTGTGTGTTAGGAGTAGATGTAGGCATAAACACGTCTTCTTCAGGCTCACAGCTGCTGAAATAACACACACTTGTACCGGTATTTCTCTCTGCTTAACCTTAATTCCCCATAGGCCTGCTCCCACACACACACACACACACACACACACAGTTTACAACTGTCCCATGAGCCTCCTTTTCACCACAGCTTCAAACACACGTGCATGAAAAGGAACAATAGAAGAGCTCACAGCTTGTGTTTCACTTATTTATTGATCCGAGATAGTGAAATGAAGCTGGAGCAAAGCCACATTAAACAGGCAGGTAACTTACAATTAGCACTGCATCAGGTGTGTCATTCTGTTAGAATCTGATGCATAATTCGAGGCAGCAGTGCGTACGAGGAAAGAATGAACTGGCTGTAACTAGCAGCTCGCTCTCCAAACAGCACCTACACAGCAATTACAGATGAGAGATACGTGTGTGTGTGTGTGTGTGTGTGTGTGTATTTGTGTGTGGAAGTTAATGGCTGTGTGGAAGTAACGGTCTAAATGTGTTCATCTGTAACATTTTATCCTGGTTCACCTCACTCAGACACCATCACGCAGAACAACACACTCTCACACATATGAGCTTGGAGAGGGAAACGGGAGGAGAGAGGGAGGAGAAAGTGGAAATGATGAGTCCTTTTTTTTCACAGCAGGTCAGTTTTACTAAAACTTTGGAACTTTTTTTGATTATTTTTTTCCACAATAAGAATTTGATTTAGTCAGGGTACTGCACTAGAACGATTTATGGCGTTCAAATAGTTTTACCTCCCACACCGATCATTCTGAAATGCAAAGAGCAACAGACTGGACCAAACAATGGAGGGGATTCAGAGTTGTGAAAAAATCTCAATTAGTCTATGCAAGGTATACATTTGAATATTAAAACAAAAAAAAGACCTTAATAATAGAAAAACTTGTTCTCTATTTCCATCTACAATTTATGTTAGTGTGCATTGTACATGTGGTGATTGTTGTCACAGAACTTGTGAAGTCCCTGATCTTTGAGAGCCAAATCTTTTTCTGCCTCTAAATTCACTTCAAGATAAAATATTTACAACTCAATCATAAACAATTACAATTAAAATGTGAAACAGCCACTTCTTCTTTTTAATGATTTTTAAGCATTCAAACAGCCATACCTCAGCTTATTGGGAGTGTGTGGTTGTGGTTGTGGCATGAGAAGAGTAAGTTGGTCGTAAAAGCTGAAAACACAACGACTCTCATTAACTTCAGATTCAAATATTGCTAACGCCTGATTGGTTTAAGGTGTCAAATTTCTAATGATTTTCTGCCCTCTTCAAATAGCAAAGAACAAGGACGACACATACAGTATGGGAACTACTTATTTCAAATAAATAGAACAATCGCAGTGGAATGGAAAAGAAGGCAATTCCTCACACCAGCAGAAAAAGCATCCTGAATGAAGGAACCTTTATTTAAAGTCTTTACCTTATTTTATGCAATAATGAGTGTAAGATCAACATGTCTGCCTGTCTGCCTGTCTGCCTGTCTGCCTGTCTGTCTGTCTGTCTGTTTGTCTGTCTGTCTTAATCTGCAGTAGTAATGTGCAGATGTTCACTTACAAACACTAAAAACTAGGGGAGCATTTTTCTGCAATGTGAGTAAGAGTGAATTTAGTCAGCTATGTGTGCACGTGTTTTAAGAGTGTGACTGAAAAAAGGCATCACCTAACGACCCTCAAACAATCAGACTTTACTGCTCATTTGTGTTATACTCTAGTTAAGGCTTGAATGGTGTTTTGGGAAACTGAGTTAATCAGAATTTTGAATATAGTTTGTGTTTGTGAGGGCACACTCTGTTAATTAAACTGAACAAAGTGTCTCTACCAATGTGTGATTAATACTTAATTATTAGTCAGAGCAAGAGAAGGACATCATTATTGGATGTTCACTTATCTCCACCTTGTGGTCATTGTCTGTAACTACATCTCAGAATCAGAAATGGGTTTTTTTGCCAATTACATTGACACATACAAGACATTTGACTTGGTGTTTTGGTGTATGAACCCCTCCTGTTCCTCTCCCTTTTTCAATGATATGGTTACTTGGCAAGTTCCTGATAAGCAACTTGATTTAAACTTTAATTTATTTTCAGTCATTCATTTGTTTATGACTTTGTTTTTTGCTGGCCGGTTGGTTTTGTTTCATTTATTCAGAGTTAAACTGTAATTCTGATTGACTGGGGGTTTCTGGGGTATAATGAATGACATCTTTCAGTAGACTTCATGAATATGATATTATTTGTGCTACAGTTTGCATTGATTTTGATTTGTTTTCTTTCCATTCATGAGCAGCAGAGCGTATAATTATTGTCCTTGGGCATGTCAGAAATGGAAAGTGTTAGAGTTAAACCTCATATTAAAATCATCTTTGTCTATGTAGTTTGTTAGGAAATGTTTAAATTATCCCAGGAGAAATTTTAAACACACTAAATAGCCTCAAACGTGCAACATCTTTTTGGGGGGTTTATTCTGCACAAAAATGAATAATAAATGCAAAAGGAAAGTTGCAATATATTGTTGATATATTGCTTATGCGATGCAAAAATAAGATAGACTGTAAGGCTGCAGCCTGGCTACTCTCGCGAGATCTGACAACACTGGAGAGAGGCCGGAGCGTGAGTCCCACCTAAACAGGAAGTTTTCAGAGTTTACGGTGAGGGTGCGTACGCATTTACAAAAGTTTCAACAAGTGTTTGCGTCTTGTGGACTATCTGTCAGCACCACACACGACATGCGGTTAGCGCAGAAGGAGTCGTGATTTCATGTATTCACCTGCTTTTATTTGTGGGTTTTAAAACACAACCGGACGCTGCAGTCTGAAGATTAGCAGAGAAGCTAAATGCTAAGCTAACGTAATCTCGGTCACGATCCACGTTCATCGCAGAGAGTGAGTTTTTTTTTTTTTTATCTCCAGGGTTTGGCATACAGTCACGGTTTTTATCCGCAGTCCCCGGTGTCAGCTTGTCGTGTTGTGCCATTTTAACAGCGTAACATGAAGCTATGGAGGAGCGAAAGCTAAAGAGAAAGAGCCCCAAGTCCACCACCAACACAGCGGCTCCGACTGCTGGATCTGGCCGGAAAACAGGCAGTTCCTCCGGGGGACGACACGTCGGCTACAGCCATACCTCCAGCCAGAAGAACAAGAGCAGAAGGTAGGAGCCTCACAACCATGATTATTATCAAGTCAGTGACACACCTCTGCAGTCCAGCAAAGTATGTTTACATTCAGTTATAAACTCTAGCTTTTTATTTTAGGTTGACTTTATTTCATTTATTTATTAGACTTTATAAATCTGGATATGAATGTACATGTCTGTCTTTCTATCTGTCCACCCATCAATCATAGTTTTGTTTCTACTACTTACATACATGTATATTATTTAATCTAACAATCTATGCACACCTTTAATGTTATTTTTTATTATTATTTATTTATTAGCACACATATAAGAATACATCAAAATAGGATTAACAAACACATTAAAGGTGTGTCAGGAGAGGACAAATAAATCAACTAAACAAATCCAATTCCACAATTTAAATATAAACACATGTACAGTAACCTATACACGTATTCACACACACACACTTAGACACATACATGCAATAGAAAGACTGAGAATGTTAACCCTCTATCCGCTAAATGAAACAGGCATTCATCTATTAAAAATGGAGTGAATGAGTGAGTTGATGGGGGGGGAAGAAATATATTTTATATATGCAAAAGTTTGAAGACAGTTTCCTTTTTAAAAATCTCTGTAGACGAAGAGCTGTTAACGTGTCTTTTGAAATTCCATATTTGTACCCCACGATATCTGATGGAAAACTGATGTTAATACTGTAAAACTCATGTAAATTAACCCATCACATCACTTTTTATGCTTTTTTTTATTATTATCATGTTACTTCAGCATCTTTTGCACTACTCACCACTGCACTATTATCTTATTCAGTCTTGTACATGTTAGTCTTTGTGTTGTTGATACTTAATGTTATACCGATGTACAAAGAGAGCACAGTTCACCAAAGTTAAAATCCTTGTGTGTGTAAGCATACCTGGCCAATAAAGCTGATTCTGATTCTACTGGCAACTACTTTCTAACTTTTTGGGTCTCTTTGTTTTTGCTTCTCTTTTAGGGGTCTTAGAGATAAACTGAGGAATCAGCAGGCTGGCAAAGCTACTCAGAACCAGGGTCAGACAGCTCCGACCATCCAACACTCCTTTCTGACTGATGTTTCAGATGTACAGGAGATGGAGAATGGCCTGCTCAGTCTCCTCAATGACTTCCACTCAGGGAAACTACAAGCATTTGGTAATTTGGACTTCAAAAAGCACTTTAAATTACAGCACATATTTTCCTACGTGTGGTAAGATAAAAAACACAGTTCACATTTTCTTAGATTTCATAAATGTAGTAACTATAAGACGTTTTATGGTCAAAAAGAATAAAGGTAAATATATCAACATCATCTGGTGCCCTTTGTAAATCTGTTGTACTTTTCTACGTTGTCAGGTAATGAGTGCTCCATTGGCCAGATGGAGCATGTGAGAGAGATGCAGGAGAAGCTGGCCCGTTTGCACTTTGACCTCTATGGAGAGGTAGATGAAATGCCTGAGGACCAGAGGAAGGTGGCCTGCGACACCAACATGGACAAATTACTTACGAATGTGAGACTGTTATCGCATCATTTGAATGACAAATTTATTTTCACCAAAATGTCAAAGTTCATGCTATATTAGCAGACAGAGCCACATTTTTGCTGATAGTCTTAAAATCCACAAATCTGTTTATGACATCCTGGATTAAGCTCGTAATTGTGTGGTGTAATTGCTCCACATCCCAGCAAGGGTTTAGCTGCTAATTCTCTTTCTTAGTTTGAAACTATTAAAGACTTAGAGCTACCTGATACATAAGGAACCGGATAAAGTCATGCCTTACTGTCACTGAGGTTTGAGTTTAAACTATGCTTTTTCTCCACAGCTTGAGGAGCTGAGTTCATCTATGTATCCTTTTCATCATAACTCAAGTCTGAGACTCTTGTTTTTTTTTTTTTTCAAAGGCTTAAAGTGAACGTTAAATCACTTTTATTTCATGTATCCTGTCTTTTAGGCATTGTTTTGGTTTAAAATGTCAGATTTGTCCTTGACCCTTCTACTTCTCCAGTCAGAAACTAAACCTTGCCGACTCCCAGGACATCCCGAGGACTGCCAGCATGTGAATTTCCTTCCGCTTCCCCACCCCATCTCACCTGAATGTTTTATTTATTCCACCTAGAGGAGCTGCAATGAGTAAGGTGGAGCTGAAGTGGGCGTGACGCACTATATCTCTTAAGTATTGTGGCAGAATTGGCTGCACATGTATTCACCAGCGTACCCTGTACATGCAGGGGGAGGGATGTAATGTAAGATGTCCCAAACAAGTATGCACTGAAAGCATTATGTTACACAGTGATTCATTTTGAGTAGAAATAGCTTTAATCAAATGTGAATAACCAGATGTTGTCTCATGTAAATCAGAGTTATTTATAGAGGGCAACATCAAATCATTGAGATTTGACCTTCAGTACAATACACAGTGGTTTATCACTGGTCATAAGGTTTTAGTCAGCTGACTCCTTTCCAAACAGCTTAGATTTGCAGTACATTGCTAACCAAAGTTATAAATGCATATTTAAGCTCCTTCTTTGCACTTTGTCATATCTATTATCACAGGTCGATCAATGTCTGTAACCTCACAAACTAAAGACTTGGAGCTACAATGATCAAAATATCAAGGCAGGAGTAGAATTGTTTCTCAGCTTAAAAAGATCAGATTTGATCTGAGACTACAATCCTTACGTCTCCTGTGCATTCATCATCTCGCGCAAAGTTACATTCTGAATGAGATCCATGTTCGTAGTCTCTGTGAGTGATGTCCTGCTCCATGTGAGAGGCCTCCAACATGTCGCTCAGTGTTTAATCTTTTTGCACGTTTCCATGCAACATGCACATTATCACTACTGCGTGGGAGAAGGAAAAAGAATCCAAAAGTTGACATCACAACCATGCCTTAACTTTTTAATTTACTCATTTTTGCCTTATTTTTAATCAATTTATAAAGACCATGTTGATTTTAGAGTCCAGATTGTGTTTTTAAAGATAATATATAATCATCTGATGATGCTGCTTTGATTGTAAATCCTTACTGTATTTTATCACTTGTTATAACTGTGTTGGGTTTTTGGGGGATGGGGGTATTTGTAAGTGTTTTTGCTGTTTGGTGATTTTGTTTTTATTGATATAATAAATGTATTGTCTGAATTCCTTGGTCACTGTTTTTATCTTGTATTATATTTTTAAATGTAAAAAGAGTCATTCGTAGAAAAAGGACTAAAATAAAACGGAAGAGAGTTAGGGATTTGTGTTGCAAAATCAGAGTTCAAGCCAGAATGAACTCGCTAATCTGTGCTACGTGCTCTCGCTCTGTTATGTAATTTTTTATCATCTGCATAACAAGTCGACCCAGTGCATGCATCATGTTGAGGCTTTGTCGTACACTGGCGAAACACAAGTTAAGGCTGGAGTCCTGCAAGATGAAGCTTTTATTTTTCTTCACCTCAAAGTGAAAATGCGGTATGGATGATGAATGTGTTGGGTCGTCGTGGTAACACTCCTAACAGAAAATAATGAAATGTGTTGTTTTTTCCATGTGGGTGTGTATTTAATAAAGATTTTTTGGGGGAGTATCAGCGACTACTTCATGGGAATTTAGTTTCATCATGCTTAAATACAATTGGTGTTCCTTTAACTTAATCGTTTTCTAAATGAATCCCCCTATTTTCACTTGACAACACTAGTGTCTTCTATTTGTGTTGACAACCTTCTTTTTGTGACTTGTTTATAGACTGGAGTCCATGTTACTTATTCATGAGCTGTGTGGAGGAATGTGCACATCCCTTGTTGATGCGTCTCTAAGGTGACTGAGAGCAGGGAGCAGAGCAGCTCAGTGGCAGACCGACGTTAGCAAGCTTAACCTGATAGTCTTCTGGATTTTAAACAGGAGGAGACGAGTCTTCTTCAAGTCTTTATTTCTGTGTGAAACCATGGAGTCGAGCCTGAAGTCAACCCCTCACTCGGTGAAGCAGTGGCAGCTTGGTGGGACAGACTATGAGCCGCAGCAGGTCCACAGGCAGCGGTCTGAAACCTGCTTTAGCACCTGGACCCCCCTGAACAACAGGACCAGCAACATCCAGGTCAGGAAAAGAAAGAAAATCCAGATCTTACAAACCTTTTAAGGGAGGTTAAATACAGTTTGTTAATGACCACTAGATGGCACCAGACTTGCGTGCAATATATGTCAGTTGTGTCACTTTCACATTTTAATGCATTTGAATATCCCATAAAAACAGTATTTAAGATTTTATATTTATATCAGGACACAGCTTCACTACATCTGAATATACAACAAACCTCATTTGATTTGTGATCAAAACACACAACCAGTGTTTTACCACAAATCTTCCTTACCTGCACACACACTAAGCAGTCCTACAACACATGTACCAGGTTTCAGGCAAAGAGTAACTGTTTGCCCACACCTGTCCTTATCCAGGCAGGAAACTCTCCTTAACTCTACCTACAGAGAGTAGTGCTCTCACAACCTCACATGTAGCCCTCGATGTAGTCATGCCTCCCCCTGCATGAAAGTCAGTACGTGTGCCGGTATGCAATGAGCAGAGCCTTCCTTCACTCATAATAAACTATACAGTTGTTCAGTGACCTTTTCCATTTGATTCCAGTTATTTGAGGAGAGGAGGAACCTTTTGTTGCATTGGTTTGATCTGTGGACTGACAGACAGAGGAAACAGCTGTTGTACTCTCTGCTAACACGCTGCTCAAAGACACAGCTCAAGTGAGGACTCTTTCTTCCTGCTTAGACTGTTTATTGTACAGTGATGAAATATTGTGTCACTTCTTTGTTTGGTGTCGTGTTTGATTCATGTCTTACAACCTGAGCAGGTATTGTCGGGATTTGCTGATTGAGACTGTTCCTGTGACTCAAGTGGACTTCACAGCGGTGCTGCCACGCTTTCTGTCCCTGTATGTGATGTCATTTCTGTCCCCTCGTGACCTCTGCTCTGCCGCACAAGTCAGCTGGCAGTGGCGGGTCCTTGCTGAACAGGTGAGAGGACAGAGGAGAGAGGCTTGAATGTTCTCAGCCGTTTTTTAAGATACAGTAAAGAGAGGCTACGACAAGTGATTCTAAAGAGTGTCTACCTTCCCCTCTTGTCTTTCTTTTACCCAGGATTGTCTCTGGGCCGACCGCTGCATCAAGAGAGGCTGGTTTCTCCCCTACACACCTGCAGAAAAAGAATTTGGAGCATGGAAGACTCACTACATTTCCTGCGTCTCCACTCTGGACTGGCTTACTCCTCGGGAAGCAGCTGAGCAGTACGGGACCCTGAACCAACAAAGCACAGAGGAGGCTGAAGAGAGAAGGAAGGAGAGGAGAATCAGACAGATGATCAGAGGCAAACTGCAAGAGGAGAAAAGTGAGTGAAAGAACAGGAGGACGCTGGACTACCTTATTGATTTTTTAACTTTTTATTCAAAGGGATAAGTCATCATGAGGGTTTTTTTTTTTTTTACTGTTGTCATCTCAGAGGTGTGTGTGATTGGTTGTAAATCTGCTCACACACCTCACATTATAAATGTTTAATTTGATTCATTTAATTCTTCCTTATGAGGTTAAATAAAGAATTGTTTCATTTAACGTGGTGCTGCGACCTCCCGAGCGGAGTCATTACCGTGCTTAAATCTGTGATTTTTGCAGGAGAATCTATAAGAACCAGGAGAGTGTGGGGCAGCAACGCAAACCCTGAAGGAGCCAGAGGTGGAAGAACCCAAACAGGGAGGTCCAGCCCTGGTATGACATCCAGGTCCTGGCCCTCCCTTTCATGGCCTCAAACTCTTGTTGGGTCTCCCAGTCTTAGCCTCGAAGGTGGACGACATGTATCTGCATCTCAAAGCTTGGAGAGAGTCCAGGCCTCCAATCCTAGCAGGTGATTGTCTTGATTTTCACCTGCCCACACTAAATCAGTTGCATGTTCTTTAAAGTACAGTTTTAAACATCACTCAATATTCTTTATAATATCTCATCTCACTGACATTTTCAGTGAAGCTCTCATGACATGTCATGGGTGTTGGTTTTTACCAACCCTATGTTAACTAGAACGGTGAAGTCTTTAGACAGAGATTATGCAACAAAGCGATTGTGATTTTGCACAGCGTGCCCGCATTCATAGAACAGAAGACGCATGAAAACAGCAACTGTCTTTTACACATGCAGTCCTGTCCCATCATGCTGGCTCCCCCATTTCTACCTGACATCAATTTGTCTTACTTTGAGCTCAACAGACGTCTTCTCTGATACACTTGTTCATTGTATTATTTATAAAGAACGGATGGGCTAAAGAACTGAATGAAAGTCTTTTCATTTACTTTTCATGACAACCTCATAATATAAACAGAACACCTACGTCAACCTGAGGTTTTCAGACAACATAAGACACTGCATCAGGCCAAAGAAATAGCACAGTGTGACATCTTTCATTGCATAGCTGTTTGTAAATGTGAATGTTTGTGTTCTTATATGAAAAAGATGAAACTGACAAGTCTTTGAATTCAAGTGCTACTGTATTCAAATGGAGTCAATGTGTGCAGATTTGATTTTAACTTAAGTCTTCCCCTCTACTTCCTGCCTTTATGCTAAGCTACTCAGCTACCATTTCTAGCTCAAGACATTGACTTTCTTACCTAACTCTACTAGCTGCGGTGTGTTTTTTTCAGTGAGAGAGTGAACACAGCAAATGGAGCGCTGTCCTCCTTCACTTGTAAACCTGCAGTGCTACAAGCAGCCACTCCAATCCATCGTCCTGCTCCCCCTCTCTTGCTGCTGATGTCCAACCGAATTCCAGCCTATGAGGTAAAATAAAGATTTAAACAGCCATATACTTTGTACAAGCCAGTAGGGGGTAAAACACAATACTGAGTGTAAAATGAAAAAAGTCTCAGTGGGAAGATGAACATTAATATTTCTCTGTCTGCTCTTTTCCTCTCTCTCGCTCCATGTAGCTGCTGCTGAGCGGCGTGAAGGCTGGAGTGATCGTTGTTCTGTACGACCATAGAGGGACTCTCTCAGCGCTGTTAACCCAGGCCGAGAGGGCCATTTCTGGAAAGAGAGTTCAGAGGCTGGGACTACTCGCTCCTGGAGGAACGGAGGAAATCCATCTGCTTGAAGGTGAGAATCAATAATCCTGCGTATCTTTATGTGTGAAAACACTGCCAGAGTCAGATCCGGTGTAAGTGGAGCCTGCAGTGTAAGGAGTTTATCTCAGCAAAACTTTACAAGCAAATCCACTGTCCACATGAACATTTTGTGGTGTGTTTCAAACAGACACAAAAAACATATAAATAAATAATAATGATAAAAAAATAAAAAAATAATACATGATTAACCAGAGAAAATCTAGATGTATATACTTAAATAGATTTAGCAAGTGTACTTCCAATACAGCCCTATATCAATTAGGCAATTATATATAGTCATAATATAAGTATATTACAACTATACTAATAATAATACAGCATCAATAATTGTTGTAACAACAATTACAATAATAGTGTGTATGGATAAGAAGATACTGCTAGAGAGAACATCATTTGTCAAAATGTTGGCTTTTGGAGCTCTAAAGAGTGTTCTAATACATCTAATAAATTTCTCTCCAAATTCCATAGCCTCAAGTGTCTGGAGAAGAAAAAACTTGGTTCAATCCTATCAAATGCTTTGTTTGCATCCATAGACATTATTAGCATTTGCTCACCATTTTTTTGGACTGCATCCACTAGGTGGAGCAGTCGCCGTACATTGTCAGCTCCATGTCTGTTTTTGACAAACCCTGTTTGATCAGAGTGAATTATCTTAGGTATTACACTCTCCAGTCTGCAAGCAATTAGCTTTGATAAGATTTAAGACCTTAAAGTCTGCATTTAGGAGACTGAGGGGTCTGTACGAGTCACATTTCTGTTTGTGCTTGCCTGGTTTTGGGAGCAGTATGATGGTTGCTTTTTCCAATGAGTCTGGTAATTTTTCTTTTTCTAGAGCTTCTTTAATCATGTTTGTAAGATGAGTCAGTAATTTCCCTGAAAAAGCTTTAAGATATTTTATTGGGAAGCCGTCTGGTCCAGGGGCTTTATTATTCTGTAGGGAGTTAATAGCTTGGAGAACCTCCCTCTCCGAGACATCGGCATCCAGCTGTTTTCTATCGTCATCTTTTAATTTTGGCAAAGGTATTCCGTTCAGGAATCTTTTAGCTGCTACGTTGTCTTCAGTATGTTCTGTTTTATAAAGATTATTGTAAAATTGCTTGAATTCTGTATTTATGGCCGTGGAGTCATTCAGTTGCCTACCATCGTCTGTTAATATTGAGTGTATGAATTTACCAGCATTCTCTTTCTTTATTTGCCAAGCTTTACTTGTTTTATTTCCAAATCCATAATAATGATATTTGGTGCGGGCCATTTTTCTAAGGGAATTAAGATTTTCATCAGTTTTGGAAGTGTGATGAATCCTGTTTCATTTTTACATGGCTAATTTTTAATATAAAAGTACCTCTGTTTATTATGATCATAAATCTCACAGTCATTTCACATTACGTTTTGGACACTGAAGATCAGTGAGCTTTTTCACTCATTCTTCAAGTCAACTTAAAACAATTTAAACAATTTTGAATGTCAAAAAACAAAAAAAGTACCTTGTAAAGTTTCTACAATATAAATCTGCTGCATGAAGATTTATTGACTTCACCACAGCCATCCTTTTTGTCTGTTTGGTATCTTTGTAGGATCATGTTTTAGTAGACAATTAAGAGTTTTAAATACTTTGAAAAATGGAAACAAAGAAACAAAACCTGTGAGGGATTTTTTTTCTACTTAGCTGATTGTCATTGATGTCACCTTTGATACTTCAGGTTGTAGCCTGTCACAGGCGACTCTTCTGACCCCTGACCACAGAGAATTCTGGGAAAAGCTGTCTGGCTGGGTTGCATTAACAGATGAAGGAGGAGGGATTGATATCTTCTCTCCACTGGCTGCATCTGGTAGGAAGACACTGAAGTAACGGACATACACGTCTCTGGAATCTGAACCTCTGTTGTTGTTTATTTGTCTCATCATCGTCCCTGTCTCTCTTCCTCAGCGTCAGGTTTGGCTCTCATGCAGGCTCTGTCTACACTGACGGGACTGGAGGTTCAGGCACCTATGGGTCTTGCCACTGGAAATTTCCAGAACAGTGAGTCACTCATTCAAAAAATTTAATCAATCAAGAGAATATGTAGAATATGATGTGTTCCTCCTTAGATTTTTACTTACACCTAAAAGATATCTAAGTTATCAGGGGCCTTATTGACTATCTCTAAATATTTAGATTTACAATCCTTCAGATTGTTCTTAAGATACACAGCATTTTTGCTAATATTTATCTATTTATTTAAAGTGCTTTTCTTGAAAGCTTTTTTTTTTAATATCAACCTCACTGTTTACATTTTAATCAATACTAATTTATAAGAGCTGTATTATGATACTTCTGATGCAGACAGAATATCTTTCTGCCATTGTTCTACATCTGAAGTATTTTCAATTTCAAGTTTAGGAAATTGTTTCTTCAAAACAATAAAATGGTCAATTCTATAAAATGACAGCTGTTGCTGGGGTCATTATATGTTTTAGATTTCGGTGGTCAAAGTTTAAAGTCACTGATTGCGCCAAAATGTTCGTTACTTCAGAACTCATGAGTCAATTACAGCAAAATGTTCCTAAAATCACTGTGAATCATTGGTTAAAGACATACTGTAAGTCAAATATTTTTGTTTCCCTTTTCCAGTCCTCAGTGAGTGGTCTGACAGCAGTGTGTGCACCAGATTCTCCAAGGAGCAGCCAGCCGGCCCCGCTCTGCTCTATGTGTGTGAGAGCGTCCTGCAGGGCTGGTGCAGACAGGCTCAGTGGATGGAGGAGGCTCTGGGGGAGCTGAGGGGCCGCCTGGGGCCACAGCTACAGCGGGCCAGCCTGCAGGCCAGGGGCCGCGCTCTGGGTGGGTTTCACACACATGTAGATTTGCAGCAGATACACACAGCTGGACCAGTGGCAGGTTTAAACAGAAGCCTGCATTCTCTGTGTCCTGTAAACTTCCTGAGTATGATGATGTGTTTATAGGTCATTTTCTGTGGGAGGAGATCTGCCTGGAGGATCTGTGTGTGTCCAAAGAGCTGAAGGTGGCTCTGACTGAGGGGCTCGTTGCTCTCACAAGACAAGAAGAGGTGGGATTACTGTCAAGAAGTTTCTAACGAACACTTACAGTTTCACATTATCTTCTGTGTGCAAATGTCATTAGTTTCAAATCAAGTGGGTGTGTTTTATTTCTGCTCTTACATCTCTAGACCAAACCTGTGGAGTTTCTTGTCCTCTTCTTGACAAGATGGAGTGAGGAGAAGGAGAGAGAAGAGCGTAGTGGAGAGAGAAAGTGGAGCTCACAGAGAGGCCTCAGCTCAATGTCTGAGCTACAAGAGGTGTGTGTGTGTGTGTGTGTGTGTGTGCTTTGTACCTGTCCACCCAGGCCTAGTACAAGGAGTATGCATCATCCTCAGTTTGTTTTGTTCATTTTGTCTGTAGATGGCATTAGACTGGAGAGGTACAGTTGCCAGAGAGTTGCACCACAGCGAGTGTGTTTATCTGGGGAGACTGGGCGCAGTGCTGAAGGTACTTCTTCCATTTTTCAACTTGATCATTTGTGGACTGTCAATCTAAGAAGCCCATCTACTCTGTGAGACTCTTCGCATGGGCCACGCGGTGGTGTGTCTTAAAGAAGGATCCACGTCAACTACCCCAGTGGGTCAGTCCCTGTACATATTAAGCACAAGAATATGAAGTCAACCTGTTCTGCTTTTGTGCTGAAGGTCTACAAGGAGCCTCTGACAGCAGCTCTCAACTCCAACAGAGCCATTCTCAGCTTCACCGACATCCACATCGTCCTCAGCCCAGTCACACACATACTGGAGCTCAGCAAGTACGCATCATCACACAAGTATCCTCGTGACACTGTCTTGTTTCCTCTGTGTGTAGATAACTTACCTTAGGGTGAGTGTGTGTTTGCTTCAGGGAGTTTCAGATGGATTTAGGAGCCAGGCTGCAGCAGTGGGGTGCAGAGCAGTGTGTAGGAGACGTGTTGGTCAAATTGTGCTCAAAACTGAAAGTCTACACCAACTACCTCAACAACTACACCACTGCCCTCTGCACGATCGACAAGGTAAAGTCACTGAATGAAATTGTTAACGCTAACATGCTTAACTAGCCTCTATCTGAACCTTGTTTTTAGTCTGGTTTTATTAGGATAGTCTGTTTTAAGAGACAGCAGTCGTGTTCTTTTCAACTTTAATTATTTAACAAAAGGTTATTTTGTATATTTTTCCAACTGCATGTGGAGTTCAGACAAAAACATATTGTGTACTTCATGTAAACAGATGTTGTGTTTGTGTAACAGTGCAGGGAGACAAAGCCTCCATTCAGGGCTTTCCTGAAGAGAGCAGACAGAACGCTTGCGGCACACATGCTGAGGTAACAACACGTTTTTTTTCTTTTGGTTAAATAAATGTCCACATGCGACCAATATTCTCTATACTTGATTGCATGTTTTCATGTTTTTGTGAAGCCTGCAGGAGCTGCTGATGTGTCCTGTGTGGAGAATCCAGGAGTACGTGACTCTACTTCAGGCTCTGTCCGTACACACACCGCCTGGGCATCCTGACCACAAACACCTCTCCTCCGCCCTCAACTCCATGTTACGATTCAGGGAATTTATACAGAAGGTAGTCACAGGGCAATGACTCTGTACTTTGTGCTATATTTGAAAATTTTTAATATATGAAATTGGTGCAATTAATGCATGAATGTTTCTGTCTGTTTAAGTTGAAGCGTAACTCAGAGAGAAACAAGCTGATGGAAGAAACGCAGCAGACGATCCAGGGCTGCCCGGTAAAAACACAACATCTTTTCTGTCTCACACTCAGAACACACTAGAATACTTAAATGTTGAACTATGTAGTCATGAATGTCATGTGTTTTCTTTGTGCCATGAAGAACCTCAATGAAGGAAACAGGCAGCTGATAACGACCCAGGACGCTGCTTTGCTCAGGAGTCCTGGTGAACAGATTCCAGACTCTCTCAGGTAAAACACACATTCATAACAACTCTGGTCCTGTTGATGCATTGTGTACAGAGAGTTCGTCACCTTATATCCAGAGGATTTATTTTTTTACAATGCATCATTTACTTAAAGATTTGAGCGTATTTTAAAAATAACAACAAAAGAACTGAATATTGGAATGACATCATTGCTGAGCTTTCAAACTTTTGTTGTGCTTCTGTTTGTCTGTGTGCATGATCAGGACCTACGAGCATGTCTCTGATGTGGGCCTCTTCCTCTTTAATGATGCATTGGTGTTGACGCGAAGAAACGTTCATCACACACCGTTCTCGCTGGCTCACCAGAGCACACACACTTTCCTGGCCTCAGTGGCTCTGTGCAGCCTGCGAGTCAGAGAGATCACACACACACGTTGTGAGTTCTAATGTAGCGATTATTTCCAGTTCTTTTTTTTCAGCAAATGATCATTAAAGTTGTGAAATATATATATTTTTTTAAGTTCCAGGACTGTTAATGTGTTCCTCTGTAGATGTGAGTCATGCCTTTGTCCTGGAGGGTCCCTGTCGTTCGTGGGTTTGTGCCTCAGGAAGAGAAGAAGAGAGAGAGCACTTTATGTCTGTGCTGCGTTCATCCATAAAGTCAGCTCTGAAAGGACATCAGTGACACCATCATGACGACATCGCCCGCAGGACAAGACAAGGTTTTGTCACCCCTGGAAACAAACTTGTTACATATATATATTTTTCTTTTTTTTCTTAAACATGGGAAATCTCAGAAGGCGAGTAATGGCTCCTGTTCCATTCGAGCTCAGTTTAAACGGAGCTTTGAGTTTCTCACTTCAGTGATTCTGGACACAATCCTTTGATTCACAATGACTACTTTGCAACTCAACATTTAGGAACTTTTTAATTTCTTACATGAGCAATATTTGTGAGTTATGTTGTCACTTTGACATCATGTACTTCCTGCTTCCTCAGGCAGGTAGGCCTTACTTCACTACACTACTCAACAACCTGCGTCGCGGTGATCTTCAGGTTTTACACGGTTTCTAAACTTTTTGATTCTCGAGGCATTGCTCACTCACTCAAAGTGTTGTCACATTTTGAAAAACACAGTGTCTTAAATACCTCAACCAAAAGTCTCTGCAAAGAAATAACAATCGTTGCATTTTTCAGCTTGTCATAAAAAGTGAAATATGCTTTCTAACTATGACAATCACTTCATAATATTTGTTTAATGATCTGTTCGGGAAACAATTGTCAGGTATAAAAAAGTCTTTATTGATAACGAAAAGAGACACAAATAACACATTTAAAGATGATCACTATCAAGTAGCTGCTTTACACGTCACATCACTTTTACGCTTATGTACATTATTGCCACCTGATTCAAAATATCCCTAAAAATAAATAAACCATAGTTTGTTCTAACAGATGAATTAATACAATCTCAAAACTAATAAACATTCATTTTCTCTCAACAACATAAAGTAACTTCTAGTTTAACCCTTCAGTTTCAGTCAGTGACATCTTCGACAGCATCACTGTAAATATTAAATAATCTATTTTCTCAAATGTTCTGCACATTTATTTACAAACGATACGATGAGTTCACGTTTATATTGACACATTAACATGTTGCACTTTGCAGTTTTCAGCACCACAAATGATCAGAAGAGTTCTGTTCTTAAGTTAAATCAGGGAAAAGACGTACAAACTTTAGCGTTTCAGTTCTCCTGTTACTTCTCCTTTGCAGAGAGTTGTTATTATTTAAATCCAAGGGAACTACGAGGATGTTTCCACCTTCTGCCCCAACATTTTTAGAACAAATGACAGAGGGTCATGTATGATCACAGTCTGCGGTTCATCAGATGTGGGTTGTTGTTGTTTTGCGCTGTAGGCTGCCCTGTGGTTTGATTAGTCTGACTCTTGTTCTGCAGTCCCACGTTTGCTGCCGTGCTGTTTGTCCCTTTCTGGGAGCTGTAGCCCTTCGGTTTGGGGATTCTTGTGGGTCCTGGTCGGCGTAATGCCTCTGGAGGTATCTGTTGAAGAAAACACAAACAGATGATGAAGTTTCTCAAAGAGTGGAAATAATATAGTTTTTTTGGACTTTCTTACTGAAAATAAAATTAGAAGGATGGGGAAATACGATATGAAGTATACAGGAAGCAAAGCAGCAAGTTTGACCAGACAGTGGCTGTGATTTTGATTTCTGCAATACTTCTAATGACCACTAGATGATAGGAAATCATATTTTATGGACACTGGATAACCACACCGCCAAAGTTTTACTGCATGAATGCTACACTTGGCTGTTTCCCTTCAAGACAGGATTATCAGATGATTATCCCACAGTAACTAGATAGCATGCAATTTGGCTGTTTAGTCATGCATTTCTGTTATTCAATATTTGATCTAATTGTTATTCATATCTTAACCGATGTTCCCAGTGAAAGAGAGGCTTCTGCCCTGACTGACACTGGATAATGCATGTCACCCCTTCAACATGATTTCATATCTTTGCTGTACCGCGTTACTTTGTTTTATAGTTTGCCTTTTTGTATCCTTTAAATGTGTATTTGCCAATGAATCATTTGGACAATTAAAACAAATAATCTAAGCTATTCTAATATCTTATAAAAGGCATCTCAGTATTCTTAGACATGTTCAGAGCAAAATCATTCATCAGTTAATTGAAAAAATAACCCGAAAGCTTTTCAAAAGTAGTAATTAGTCGCAGCTGTTTGAATGCTTTTGTTTAATTGTTTTCCTCGTATGCCCGCTTAAAAAAAAAAACCTCCTAATGCAAGAAATGACTTCTCATTGTTCTCCCAGTTTATCCCATTATTAACAACTGCATGTGTCTGCTGTGACCAAACCAGCATTATCTCTTTTCTTTATCACAAGAACGGGAATCATTATGAGAAAAGTAGCCTTTCTGAGATTCTTAAACAGCGTAATGCTCCGCTTACTATGCTATCACGTTATCTAATCAGTGTGTTTACTTGTCCAGCAGCGTGCCTGGACACTGAGGTACATCGATTTGGATCGGTCCATGTACTGTAGAAACCGCATCCTGTTTACTGTGACTCTGACAAGCTGTTTCCACATACACATACGCATCTCCTGCACTTCTAGTATGGTTGGTGTACTTTCTGCAAGATGGTGATAAATCTACAGCTCACACATAAATTAGTCTTTATGATTTCCTTTTTATAACATAAATCTTGCGTTCATTGTGTATTTGTGTGCAGATATTCTAAATCATCTCTATTAGTCATGTAAATCATGATCAAGATCTGTATATCCAGACAGAAAAACAGTCACATGTCTGAGTCTCTCTGCCTGTTGATGGGCTCATAGTTTGTCTTCTCCAGAGACCAAATTACTCCCTGGCAGTAGTCAGCGGGCAATTATTTTTCTTCAAAGTTATCTGGGGATGTAATTGGCACATAGTTTCATTTTTAATCAAGCTTGGTTCTTCCTTTTTCCCCAGCAGTGACATTTGTAAAAGGTAATTACAATTTGAGATATGTTCTCGGTCACCTCCAATAACCTATTCGATTATTATTGCTGCAGCATTTTGGATATCTGTAATGTGTGTTTAACAAAAAAAACATTTTGAAACTCTGCAAAAAAAAAAAAAAAAAGTTTTGGGCAGGAGTGTTAATTACAAATAGAAACTGGAGCTTCTTCTTTGACAAACTGTGTCATCGATCTGTTCCACATTTCTGCAGCTGAGTGAAACTGAAACTTCTTCCAGTATTTCCATGAGTTTCATCACACTCACTGACTTTATTCCCAGGCAACACAAAACCTCTCTCTCTCTCTTGAGAAAACCACTTGGATATGTTCTTGTGTGGCTTGAGGTTTTTCAAGAATTAACAAAAAAACTGCAGTGAACGACATCCTTAAATATTCATACGGGGGTATACATTTCAGAATAAGTAGTGCCTGCGCTTCAGGACGACTAATGGTGCAGAAAATCTGTACGGGGCTGCAAGTCATGGGAGTGCTGTTGATTTTACATGGAAGAGAGGCCTTAATGTGTGGCTTTGTTCTCTCGTATATCAGCAGTGCAGCAGGAGTTCAGCTAAGTGCTTCCTCTGTAGTACAGGCGCTGCTGTTTCTATGTCAACCAAACAGGAGGATTGTTTTGGTGCTTGTGTTGCAGTGGGGGAGAGGCTGCTTAAAGCGACTATGCGCTCACACTCTCAAAGCCTTTGTTTAGAGAAAAGCCCCATACCAGTTTTTATTGTCTGCCTTCGGTTTTATTGAGCCTGTCGGTCAAGGTGAGCAAATTCCTCTGCGATTATCATCATAGCTAACACGAGGAAATCTGCTCCGTCGCAGAGTGATACACAACTTGTCTTTCTTGTACGTGGACTTGTTTGGCTGCATTTGAGTTAAATCAGAAACGAATTGTTTACATTAAATCGTCTTTCCTGTTTTTTGATGGATTCTTTTCTCCAAAATCGGCGGTGTCATTGTAATTAAGTGTGATTTCAACTTCAATTTTAGCCAACGGAAGCTAGCACCACTTTAGGATTTTCAATAAAACAAGCGAGCTTCCAGCGCGTCACTTGATACTCGTTTTATCAGTTTGGCAAAGGATACCGTGTGCAGATCAGTCTCCCTTGGCTAACAAGCACAGTTTATGAATCAAGTAAGTCTAAGTCTGAGTCAGGGGGTTAAGTGAGGTCGCAGACAGTGAATCCCAGCTGCTGCATGCTCTCTAAAGCAGCAGTTTAATGAATAGCATCTTGTTTAGCCTCAGCCTGCATCATCTCATCGTGCCCAGACTGATTTGGATCTGGTTTCTCCAGCTGCACTCCTTCACACTCATTCAATTTAATGCTTGATTTAATCATCTCCTCCATGTCACACTGGTTTGTGTGTTTGTATATGTGTGTGTTTGGGTTTCTTTCGCCTTTTTCCTGCAGCAGTTGTCTTGATCCATCTTGATGACACTGAGGACTAAATACATGTTTTATAGTAGAGTGGAGAATACCAGATTCATATAGTGCTTGTTACTTTGTTCTGCACATTACATCTTTATAAACTGACTTCACTATCATGGGAAAAAACTTTTGCTGTGATCTAGATTTTCTAAAACCTAGTGCAAAAAAAGATTTGATTTAGAAGTCATTTTTATGTTGATGTTTTCTTTCATTGGCTTTGTATTGAGACATGAAATTAATGGTGTGCCACAATAGAGATAGCTATCCCACATCCTCCCCACTGCGTCCTCCCTTCTATCCTTTCTGTCTCCATCCGCTCATCATCTCGTTCTGCCCTTGAAGGCTTATTTTATTTAAACAAATCGCACGTATGTGGTAAGGTTTCCACTGTGGGCGCATAAAACCACACAAAGAAAAATGCATTTACGCGGAGAAACATTGGTGCTGACTCATTTCAAAGGATGTGATTCATAAGAGAAAGAAAATAAAACAGACGTTTTGGGTTACTACCAAAGACTAGCAAGCTAAGTGAGTTTTTCTAGTAAAGACCACTGAGGTTGAGCTATCAGCAGAGACATGGTTTATCTGAGAGCCAGACACTGATTCAAGTTTTGAAGGGACTTTGAAGGGATGGTTATCATGTGTTTAAATGGGTAAAGCGCTCTCAGAAATGGGAACTATAGGAAGTTCTGATTCCTGGCTCAGAAAATGATATAGTTAAAACTTTAAATTAAGATTCTGTTGATAGTTTTGATCCCTAATGGATCACAAAAATGTCATTTTAGGCCAGGATTGAGCTTAGTCAAGGAAACGCAAATCGTGTTAATGATGGTCAGGATAAGGTGAAAGCCTCAGTAACATTGTTTTGATAAGCTTCTAGGTTAGTTTGTTTATTGAGAGTCATGTGATTGTTAGAGTTTGTGTCTTTTAATCTAATTCTTAAAAACTCTGACATTTTTAGATCTAAACTGGTGAACACACGTGAAACGTTTTTGGTGCATTCAGGCAGGAAGATAACTGAAAGCTTTTGAATGCCTTAATTTTTCCATCCACTGAACTGTACTCATGTTTTGTTAGAAAAGATTCACCTCTCACAGCAGCCACCACTCTGAGGTTGAAAGGATTCAAGCAGAGTTTCCGTTGTATCATTTCAAAAAACTCCTAAATTTTCATCATGCTGGTTTTCATTCTCGCACACTGTTGTGTTCTGGATGTAAAAAGAAACTATGACATCAACCTATGATTTTAACTCAAGCAAGTAGACACGTGAGAATTCAAAAAGATGAAAATGTTTTTCTGTTTGTAATCCGGTCAAGTTCGAGCTCTTACTCTGACATACTTGCTCTCTAAATCATTGAAAACTTTCTTTGCATGCATCATTATTTAAATCAAACAACTGATATTAGAATATTTGCATTTTCCTTGCACTATTTCTTTTAATTTTACACATTCAAAACATGCCGGATTTAGTGAATAAATGAAATGGGCAAGCATGGACGAAAAACTAAAATAAAAACACTTGTTTTTGCACACTTTAATTCTCAGAAAACCAAACAACTTAATATAATGCAATATGTGTTATATGAAGTATAAAACTGGTATGATACATCAGTGTGAATAATCTGACTACATGGCAAATAAGCCACTGAGTACAATACAGTAAGTGCACATAAGTTAAAACCTTGTGTTATGTCAACAAAAACAATCAATTTTCTAGTGCTTTCAAATTGTATTTTTTTTCTCATGCAAGCAAACAATTGTTTGAATGTGTCACACAAAACCAAGCACCTCAACCAAAATAAAAGGAAGACATTCAAACCTTGGTTTAAGCACATAAATTATGTAAAACAGACATGTAAATGTATCAGGGGATACAGCTGGGGCCTAAAGGTCTACGGTGGGACTGGATGTGATGGGAGGGATTCAGTAACAAAGGATGGGATGGAGAGATTTTGGGGGGGGGGTTTTCAGGTCAGTCATAGACATTACTTACTGTAATTTGTGATGGCCTTTGGATTGGGGTAGAGGTGGGCTTAATCATGATGCTACTTGTGATTTTGCTGTTGCCTTTGAGAGTAGGAGTACTGCAATTTGCAAGCACCTGAGTCCTCTGCTCCTGGAGTCCAGGGGTATGGCACGGACTCAGTGTTTGTGTCGGAGTGCTGATGCTCTGTATAAAGGGGCTCCCTAAGTGAATGTGGATTTTGTTGTCCTCTGTTGTGATGACATTTGGCCCAGAGCTGTTTGACCTCTGCACCTGCCAGCTGGTTTGCCTTTCTGGCGACACACGGAAGACGGCATGTCCTCCAACAACCTCCACCGGCTCTGTGGATAGGGAGCGGTCAGGGGTGCCTGTTGTGACCGACACAATTTGAATAGGTGACATGGCTCTGTCTGGCGTAACAGAGCCGCAAGAATCCGGAGTCATTGCTCTGGAGTATGTGGCCATGGTGAAAGGTGACAGGGATCTATCAGGTGAACACAGACCGTCGGATATTGGCGAACCTTTGGATTTGATTGTTGGGGAAATGGATTTTGCAGTTGGGGACATGGAAGCATTTTGAATGATGGTAATTCTCTGTTTGGGTGGACCTCCACTTGTGGGTATGACGGCAGTGCTGGTGAATGACTGGGTGTTTTCTGTGGTCGGGCTGGTGATCTCTAATGTTGCTGTGTTATGTCCGTGGTCAGGAGTAACTTTAATGTGCAGAGGTTGCCCAGGACTGTGGGTCAACACAACATCTCCAGACTGGACGTGGTTGCCGTTCTGCCGCGGTTGCACTTTGCCGTTCACCTGATGTGGTGTGTCTTTGTTTTTAAGGAACGGGACTCTGGCTCTTCTCATGTTGTTGTTGAGGTTATTTACATTATTGATAAGCGAGGGGCTACATTTGCTGAGTTGAAGCTCATTGCTGTAGTTTGCATTGTCTTCAGTTTCGCTCTCATCGTACAGCTTCCCGTTTACCACAGCCCGTTCCAGCGGTGCGATTGTCTTGCAGTTCGGGGACATGAGGTCAAGTGGCTCAGTCTGAACTTCCTTTGTGGAAACGTGGAGGTCTGAAAAACGCCTTCCATTCATGCCAGGACGAAGACTTTTGCTAAATCGTCTGTATCTCTCAAGCTCTCTTGTGAGTGTCTCCATCTCTCTGGCCAGTTCTTTGTTTCTGACCTCCTGCTGGGTCAGTTTTCTTTGCAGTGTAGAGTGGTCAGTTTTCATGCGGCAAATTGAGTCCTCTGTTCCCATAAAGTCATGGATCTTCTCTTTCAAAGCTGTTACCTCTCTCGTCAAGTGACTTGACTTTGCCTCCTCATCCTTCAAGCGCTTATAGAGAACGTGCTCTTGGTTGCACTCTTTCTTTTCTGCCAATTGGTACTTTGAAAGTTCATTCCTGGATATTTCCAGCTCTTCCATCAAGGCTTTAGCTTTCTCTTGTTCGTTGTTGAATCGTTTCTCCAGTGACTCAAACTCCTCTGTTTTTAAGAGGTCACCTTCCACCACCTTCATGTCTTTTAATTTGCGTCTGAGGCGTTCAACCTCCTGCGTCAAGTCTTTGACTTTGTTGTCTTCTTGTTGGAAGCGGTTAGCAATGGGTGTTTTGATGTGCTCCTCTTTTGCTTTGTTTCTCAGGTGCTCTCTTTCAATGGTCTCTAGCGATTGCAACCTTTTCTTCATCATACTGATCTTCGACTCCATATCATTGCTCTTTTCCTCCTCAGCTCTCAGCTTTGCTTTCAAGTCATCCCTTTCCTTTGTAGCGCTGCACATTTTCTCCTCCAGTTCAGCCTTAGACCTCAGGGCTTTCTTGCTTTCCTCAATCAGCTTCTCTGTGACTGATGTAACTTTATCCTGTTCAGCCTGAAGTTTGCCAGTGCTGTTTTGGACTTTGTTCTCCATTTGCTTCAACTTCTCCGCCATTGCCTTCCTCTCATCCACAAGCATGACTGTGAGAGTCTTTAACTTGGTGAGATCTTCCTTCAGACTCAGCTCTGTCTTTCCCAATTGGCTCTCAGCAGTCTCAAGCTCTTTGACCCTGATTTTCAACACTTCAAGCTCACTGGTCAGAACCTTTGACACTGTCTTCTCTTTCTCCATGTTGCTTTTGAGTGAGCTGCATTCTTGTTTGCTCTTGCTGAAAGCATCCTCCAGTTTCTCCAAGTCCATAATTCTGTTGTTCAGTTTATCGACCTCAGCTTTCAGGCTCCGGCTTTGATTTGCCTCTTTCTCCAGTTTCTTGTTGAGGTCCCTGCAGTGATCCTCCATCCTGATCAACTCTTCATCCTTCCCTTCCATTTCAAGGACCCTTTTCCGTAACTCTTCGAGCTCAGACATGAGGCTAGAGTTTCCGCACTCACCACGACTTATTTTATCCCTCAGCTCCTGCAGTTCCTCCTCAGCTCTGCGCAGTGTCTTGTTGGTCTCCTCCAGCTCATCAAGCTGCCTGCTGAGAGTTGACATTTTGAGACGCAGCTGCCTGTTTTGGGCATCCTCAGTGGTCAATTTGGCAGTCATGGCCTCTTGTTCCTGATGGTATCGACCCTTTTGGTCACTCAGCTCAGCCTCCAAGCGAAAGACCTTTTGCTCCTCCTCCTGTAGTCGAGCATTAGCTGAGCTCAGCTCCTCTTGGGCTTGTGAGGCGCTGTCACTCAGTTCCTGCACCTTGGCTGTTTGTTGATTCAGCTGTTCAGTGAGACGCTGCTGTTCATCCACAACCACCAACGCAAATGACTTGAGTTTTGTCAGCTCCTCCTTCAGACTTGTGACCTTTTTATTATTATCTTCTTCCTTTCTTTCTTGGTAGGCCTTTTCCTGATCAATTAACAGCTTCAACCTGTAAGAAATAAAAACAAGAAAATATGGTGTTTCAGCAAACCAATTCAGATATGTGATCATTTAATATGTGCATAAAATAAAGAAATGTCACACCAATCATATAAGTCTTGAAATTTACAATAATTTTACTTGATTGACCTGGATTGAAGGTTATTTCTTCTTCTATAGGCTTTAAGTATGCATGAAAAGTTCTGAAGTAACTCCACACCCCCACTGTCCTTACCCATTGGGTCCACTTTTCCAAACACTGACACATCATAAACACTGTGATTTACCTGCATTTCTGAGCAGGACTTAACGTTTAATGTCATGGAAAATTTAACACGTCATAAAAAACATAGCTTTAACTCTCTTAAATTGGTAGTCTGGAATGCCTGTGGTGATTTTTTTTTGTATCCCCTTGTTACCAACTAATTCTCCAGTGGTTTGAAAACCTGAGTTACTGCTATAAATATCTAACCATGACTTTTACAATCAGTTTATTTCAAAAAGTTTCCAATGTTCTTCATGGTGTACCAGATGGCCCTCACTGAGTCATTTGGGAAATGATTGGAAAAGACTGACATGACGCCAAATTGTTGATGTAAAACACTGACAATAATCTAACCAGATAAAACAAGCGTTATGGTAGGGGAATTATAACGCTGTTTCGGGGGAATAAAAAAAGACAAACTGATTCCACAATGAAATCAGAAAAACTAAAGCAATACTTTATGAAGGCAAACTTGTGGATGGTCTGTTCATTATGTAACTCACCCTTTCATACGTTAGAACTACTTGTATGTCATTTTTGTACATACTGTTTAAATACCATTACAGGTTAAAAAGTACTCAGATGATTCCCAAGATGTCCTCCAACACACATGTGCCACTGGAACAACTTAAAGTGCTCAAAGTACAATGCATAGCCGGGGTCAGTGCGTCTGGCACATGCATACATCACCGTGCCTTCAGCCCCAAGGGGAAACTATGTTATGACTGCAGTGTGTGTGCAGCTGCCAGGCATTTACACACAGATGGCCCACTGGCATGGAACAATCCTTTAATTAAGGGGTTCCTCTACTACCAACCCTGCACCCCCCTCACCCAAAACCACCACCAACTACCCTCCCCGTTTTTTTTAAATACATTTAAAGGAATTCCCCCTGCTTTCATAGGCAATTACAGTCCCTCAGAGTTTATACAGAACCCCCCCCCCCCACACACACACACCAACACACACTCAAGGAGCACTGATTCCACATGTACACTTGGATTGTGGGCTATGATGTAAGTATGGTAGGGTGGGTCACTTTTATGAGTGTGTGTCATTTATTTTCTTCAGTAGCTGCTAAAAGGGTGGGAGCTCAAAGGAGACACGTGTGACTGCATGAAGCCATGTGGTGCAATTAGATGCTGACCTAACAACACCCCCCATAAAATATAACAAAGGCTATGAATAAGACTTCATTATTAGTGTGGTTTAAGTGCATTAGGAGATGTTTTTTTTCAGGGCAGTTATGTTTTTGTGAAGCAAATATACTTATAAGTTGTGTTATTAGATTGATTTATGTTAACTGTGTACAGATTCAAAATCACCCAAGTAAGTGTCAGTTAAGGGATACGTTTGTGGCCAAAAAGGTTAACGACCAACATGGAATTAAAAAAGTATTGTTCATGGTCCTTTTTAAGTTGAGGAACCTTTACTTTAGTACTTCCATCTCAAGTCACTTCATACTTCTAATCTACTGCATTATACTGTAATAAGTGACACTGCTTAGTTTCACTTATAACATGTACTTGTACTCACTTGTAACATTAAAGGGCGGCCTACACATTTAATGACAAAACAGTCACTTACTTGGCATAATTTTCTCTACTGTTGGTTTTAAATAAACCAACGCTTGCATTTTTAGTTTCAGCTCGCCTTGTCCTGAATTTAAGGCATTGAAGCTTCAACACTGTAAACTAAACCCAAATCCCTTTTTAAAAGCCTTTTATAAACCCATTTTCACTTTGAGATCTGTGTGTACTCCCTGTGCTCTGATCATTTTCCTGTCTAGCTTTGTTGACATGAAGTTCGCCCTTGTTACAAACTGGCTGCATGAAGTGCTGACTAAACATTTTAGTTATCTTTCATACTTTTTCAAGGACTAAGGGAAAAGTATGCCCGCTTTATCTAGACACAAAAGTTTTGAAAAATGACATTTTCTCTGAATAGAATGTGTACGCAGTTGCTAAGCAAACACTCAGACATCTCTCCTGCAAACTAGCCTGTCGTCTGTAATCACTGTTTATTTAATGTCTTATCTCAGTCTTGCTGTTTTTCTAGTGATGTCATCTACCCAAATAGAAAGAGAAATGAACTCTGTTCTCTTGAAGGACTGGAAAAGCTGCCTATCGCTTAAATAAAAAAAAAAACAACTGGATATATCCAGTTCAGTTGAACTCTGAACTGGATATAAATCCTGTAAACTGACACAAGGTCGCTTTTCGCTTATAAAAGCAAACCCATTGAGAGGAAACTGCTCTTAGCCCAAATACACGGCTCCCCTCACACCATTGAAATCACTTTTAGCACTTTATACCTACATTTTACTACAGCCCTGTATTCCCAATGCACTTTGTGGTGCGTAAGGAAATGTTGGTCACTTGCTCCTGAACTTTTATCCTTAAGGACACACACATAGATCAGGTATTTGGCCTAGACAAATTTCATTATTAGATTTAATGTTATTTAGTTTGGAAGACGAAACAAGAGGTGATCTTTGGGGGAAACATTGCCCAGCAGCTCACCCTTAACTAGTTGATGAGACGGACATCATTTTAAAGAGCAGTAGCAGCCTAACTGACCAGCTTTCATCGTCTGTAATAAGTCTGCAGAAGCCGTTGCTTTACACGTTAAGGGAGCACATAATTATTACAGCTAATCTATAAAGCATTCGTCCCATTTCCCCATCATTTTTTTTTTTATCTCGCCTTCGTTGGAGAGCAGCCCTTTTATGCAGACCTCTTTGCAGCAGGAAAGAACATTTTGGAGGAATAAATTGCAAAGTGCTGAGCATAAAGCTGGTGACATAACAGTTTCATGGCTATCAGTGTTACAAGACACCTTACCACCCACTCTGCAGCCTTTGCAACCTTTTCAACAGGCAGTAAGTTTGTATAGGATCGGATGCACGACCACCTCTGTGGGTTGTAAATGTGTCATGGATAAAAAGTCCCAAATGTAGGATATCTTTCGTTAACTTGATTGTTTTTGGCATTGTTGCAAATCTATTTTTTCCTCACATTTTCACCTACAAGAATGCAATAAAACAGAAGAAGGAAACATACAGTGGGAGCAGTTAGCCAAGACTAAAAGAGTCACAACGAGCAGCTTTACCGAGGGTTTCCCTCTCTTTACGTGGCTCTCAAAGCTGGAAACTGTGGCTCACCCGTTGCCTAAAGCTGTGGTACACGTCCCATATGTCAGGGCCATTTCCGAACCACAAGTGATTAGGTCATGAATGTACAGACCGATATATCCTGTATACACACACGCACACACAGGCAGTTTGAAGGGGATGGTGTTGTGTGTTGACTGTGTTTAAAGTCCGCACAGGCGAAGTGATATGCCCCCAGTGTCCAATCAACGTGTGTAAAGTATAGAGCTCTGATCTTTATTAACTTCCTCACCGTGGTCATATGGTTAATGGAGCATTATGTAACCAAGAGACATCTGAACCTTCTGTGGCTAAATCTAATAGATTAACAGTTTTTCTGGTACAGAATACAAAGAGAAATAGCCCACAAATCTGTGTCGTGAATGAAATTTAAAGTACATAAACCAACAACCAAAGCAGAGTTTAAAAAATTACATATTTTTAAAATAAAGATTTTATCAACCACCGTCAAGTTTGTCAGGACAAGAAGTGATTACATCGGACTGAATCCATCATTTTAATGTCATTCCCTCAACTATAAAACTTTTCTTTATTCCTCTTACCAAAATAAAAGGATGCATGTACAGTATTAAAAATGAAGTCTAATTACAGAAGTTATGTAATCAAGTATCTGCTATCGTGCTTACAACAAAGTCATTTCCTGTTCATATCGAATGCTTAAATACTTTTACTTTTAATTTCATGTTACTTGTTTGTTTGAAACTTGGCTTTCAGTGTTTCTACAATGATGTTATCTTCATAAAAATCACATCACAATTGATTTGCTGCAAATGTTCCGCGCTTTCAACCGTCTCTCACAACACTGAGCCTCATTATGGATTTAACACTGAACATCTTTGGTGGAGTTTGCATTGTGAGACAGCAGAGTCTAACTCTTCAGCACATCAGAGCTGTTCTTTCAGATTCAGATGAATGAATCAAAAAATGTTTCAGCTTTTCCTCATGGATATTCACAGCAGTATTAAAAGAGGGAATAAGACTGATACGGTGCAACTCCCCTCTTTTGAGAGTTACAAAGTTTTTAAATACTTCTTTTTCATTCAAATCATTTTGAAGAATCATTTAAAACTTGAACTTCTCTACATTCTCAGAAATATCTTGAAGTGCTTTGAAATGCTAGCTCTTTTCACCTTTTTTAAGTTGAAAAGCATTTTACTGAGTTATATGAAGTTGGCAGACTAAGTTGTTTGATCATCAGACATTTCAGAGACGAACAAAAATACCCTAACACCAAAAAGAGGTACTTTAAAAACACACAATGAAACCAACTAAATACGCAAGAACACAAGCAGAAAATGATGCTCCCCTCACCATGGATTCACTTCTGAGCCATTCAAACTATCGGCAACTTTTTTAAAGTCTAAGAAGTTTTGTTGAAAGTGCCTACCTGTGCCAAAGGCTTTCCCAGCTTCACAGCCATAAGCTCATGATCTTGCCGTACAACACCCGACCCTCCTCTCTTCCTCTCTGTGTGTGTCTCACTCACTGAGTAGCCGTAATGTAGGCATTCCTGCACTCAGACCAAACAATAAGGGATGTGCTCCCTGCCTATGGACCATTACATCATCAAC